ATTGATCTGCACACCTGTATCTCACTGATTTGAGTGGAAATGGAGCACATCACTCTCATCCATGATACAGCACTTTTAGAATCACAGTGTTTTATGTGATGAAAAATCTGATAAATTTAATTTGATTTTGAAACCTTGAAGTAAAAACAATTTTTAATGTCTCATAGCATTGTCCATGATACCTAAAGTGAAAAAAAAAAACAACCCCAAAACAAAAAACGCAAACCTATTAGTAAGTTTATTTTCCTATGGCCTTGACTTTCCTGAGAAAAACTGGGTGAAATCCCTGTTGGTATCAGTAGTTTTCCCATGGAATTAATTTACCCAGAACTTTACTACATGACTTCTATTGTGTCTCCATAGTAAAGAACAAAAATTTTTATCACCTCAAGACACATTCATAGATTCTTTCAGATACTACAAGCAGTGGAGTTTCTCTCTTTAAAGCTTGTAACTTACTGGTTAAATAGGAATGCTTTTTATAAATCACCACTTTGTTTAAAAAGATGCAGCTTGTTTTCCTTTGTTCTTGTCCCAAGAGAAACAACTAGTTTTATATACATATATTGGAAAATGTTAAGATTCTTGGGTGCAGGAAGAATGTTCTTGAATTCAGAGGGAACCATTCTTAAAGCACAGCAGAAGTTTTGATTTGCTCTATCAATACCTATGCTGCAAGAGGCAGCACAGCTTGGACAAGCAAAACAAAAGAATATGCAAGACCTTCCTTTTTACCACAACTAGAGAAAGCATGCTTGGAATTAGCTTTGAATAAGCCTGTTCCAGTCTGAACTGTGGCTGTAGTGGGCCTTTCAGTAGTTTTCATTTAGTTCCATCAATGGAAGCAATAAAAGTGATGCAGGGGCTTACAGTCGATTGCTACCTCTTTTGACTTACAGAATTAGACTGACTTTGAAAGCCCATATCATTTTTCTTCAAAGAGGAAAAATTGAGATGGATATTTCCTTAATGCAACTCTGTTCATTTACAAAGGATGTTCATACAGTCTTTTTTTTATTTTCTCTGGCTATAATAAGGCTATTTTACTTTGACCACACTATTTGTCTTTTCTTCTGGGTACTGTTTCCTTCAAGGGCTGTTTTGCACTCGATCATGCTACATTTCCTTTTGTGATCATCTCTGAGACATTTGCCTTTGTGTGCATTTGCAATGGTTTTGCAGTTGTGCATTTTTTACATGCACATACAGACACACACAACCTATGTTAACTGTTGCATTTGGTATGAGAATCTCAGTAAGTGCCTGTACCATCTGGCTGAGCCATAATAGCGCATAGTTGCATGTGGTCTGGCTCCTGGGTGGTATTTTTGCATTGTTTCAGTTATCACTAAACAAAGAGGCATTTAATTGTGTCTTCAATGAGCCTGAACAGAGGACAGCTACTATACCCAAGAGCTTCACCAGGAAAGTGTGACTGCCCAACCCCCTCTACTGCAATGTATGGAAGCAAAGTGAGGAGGGGGAACATGAGCTAAGGCACTCTCTTAATTAAGTAATGTCAAAGTCGGTGGCCATTTTATTCCTAACCAGCAGCTGCCTGAGCTGCCAGCTGCTTTAGCTTTTTAGTAGCAGCTATCTGACCCATGAGACATTGCTGACCTCTCCTTCTGCCCTTGTTTGCTAACCTCACGCACTCCCAGCCTTGCATCACTTTGGAGTAGATGGGAGGACAGCAGGAATACAGCAGGGACATAAATCAAGGATCATGAATGGGCTATAAAATTTCTGCCTCATGCTTCTCTGTGTGTGTTTGTCTGTGACACAGGGGGACAGGCAGCTAGAAAGTGACATGAAAAGCCTGACAGAGAAAAAAGAGCTCTCCTCAGGGAAGGTCACAGCAAAGGTCAGTGAACTTCCCTGGTGAGAATGAGTGTGCCACCAGAGAATGGGAAATGGCAATGGCTGGACCTCCACCAGGCCTGAATGGGTTCACTTACCAAATCAGAAATTCAAAGCCAAAGTGGAAAACAAAAGCACTGAAGTACAACAAAATCTACATAATCCTTACTATGAGAATGATAATATAAAAGCAAAAAGATGGAGTTTACTGTTCTTGTAACGACAACAACCATCACAATCTTAGGTCAAATCTTTCAGTTTGTTATTCTAGGTTGATCTGCAAGTGCAGTCTCTGTTCTTTCCAAACGCTGAGGAGAAGGAGTAAACAAATTTGCTAACTCCTCTATTAGGGGGCTCACTGTTCTTTAAATTACATGCATTTTGAAATTGTGAATATATGCACCCTTGGCTTCTCCAAGGAAGCAAGGAAACAGCATGTTTTTATTTGCACTTCAGAAATGCAGCAAAAAATGAAACTGAGTAACAGAAGGATCTCTGTCTATTAGTTAGAATGGGAGTCCTCTTTTTTTCTAACCTGTATCATTGTCAGCCACTACAGAATGAGCACAAACATATACTGCTGTTGTGAAGGACACAAATAGGAATAAATTGTAAAGTTATACTCACACATTAAATTAAATATTAATTAAACAGTCACAAAATTTAATAAAGTACCTTAAACTATTAATGGTAATTACACTGAAATCTCATCAAGAAGATGACATCTGAGCAGAAGACACTGGACCAGATCAACCAGTATGCTTCAGGTTTTTATACTACATCCGTGACACCAAGTACTTGTAAACCCTGCTTAACCAGGTAAATGATATCTACAATTCTGAAGGGTTCTTTAAATGGCACACAGTGGCAACTGAAGTGCATGAAGGTACCTGTCCTACATTGCTTGATAGCTTGATTTGTTGGTTACTTGGAAAAGAAGTGCCAATTTTCCATGGGCTTGAAAAAGTACAAGACCTGCTAGCAACATGGATCATTTAAGAGTGATTTTCCCCATTGAGTAACATTTTGCTTTAAGAAGGTTAAACCAAGCCTTTAATAATGACTTTAAATTGGAATATGTAAAATCATAGTCTGTGAATGCATCCTTTAAAGACATTTCATGATGTCGGTTGGCTATTGGTTGTTAGGTAGGACAAATATGGCCCTGAATGGTGTCACAGCATGAATTGCATGAATCAATACACAGCTATTTTCACTTGCTGAAGGAAGTAATAGTTGGACTCTTTGTATTCTACAATCACCTGAGAAACATTTCCTAATTCATTCTCACAGTATTCTCTTTCTACAAACAATAGGTGGATGGAAGTATTATCACTACTAGAGAAATGAAGATGAGAGCTGTCAGAAAGACAGGTGTCCACCTCCAATTACACTTCAATAACAGCATGGCATCAAATACCTTTGGTTGTTCTACCATCCTGGTGAAAGTGTTTCTCACACAACAAAACAGGAAAACGTTGGGCTACTTAACCACTTTTTACCAATTGCACTACCATAATATAGAAGGTATGTTTATATGAATACACTGTTCTGAGAAAAGAATAGGATGCAATGCTTTTGTGTTCTGAAGTTAGGAAGTGGAAATTTTCAGTTAACCTCTAAGCCTAAGAGATATATATTTTTTCTGTTGAAGATGGGGCCAGAAGACCACAGGGAATAAAATACAACTGCAGAAAATACTGAGGTTATAGCTTGGATTTGAATGACGCTTTCTGGGGAGTTACCTGGATGCCAGGAAATGAGGAGGATATTTTGTGTACTAAGATTCGCATAGTTTTATTGAAGTCAGTGACATTGAGCAGGAAGAGAGAATCTGATCCTGCAAAGTTCTGACTGAAATCACAGGCTGTGCCTGCCAGCCAGTGGGAAGACAACTGAGATTTAAGCAAGGAGTGGGATCCCAGCACCAATGGCTGGATCTAGCAAATATGTGCTCTGAAGTCTTTTGCAGCTATTCTCCTACTCAGTAGGCACCTCACCATGCTCTTTTTAAAAACAACTTCCTCTTGACTTACGAACCAGCAAAAAGTGTCTTGCAGTGATATTGTTAGAGATGTTCTAGTACATATTGACAATAGCTTTGATATTGATACTCAGAGGACATAAGCAGAGTTAGCTTTATATGCAGAGGCAGTATCTTTTATGAGATGAACACAATGGGAGAAATATAATGTATGATTTAATCACTCATTTTTATGACACATTACCGGTATCTAACTTTTCTCTTTCAGGAAGAAAATCAGCTTCCTTCCTGTGACAATGCCACCATGATTCTGCAGCCTCTTTTTCTAGTTTTAGTTACTGCCTTACTAAATTTTGAACTTCTTATGGTTTTTGTTTCCTCTCTCTCCAAATGAGAGTTAAAAATAGATGAAAAGAATTATTATGAACTACACAGGCAGCCCTACAGAAGAATTATTACAATAGAAGCACTCGACAGGTTGTCCAGAGCTGTGGCTACCCCATCCCAGGAAGTGTTCAAGACCAGGCTGGACGGGGCTTTAAGCATCCTGGTCTAGTGGAAGGTGTGCTTGTCTGTGGCAGGGGGTTAGAGCTGGGTGAGCTTTAAGGCCCCTTCCAACCCAAACCAGTCTGTGATTATGTGACAGACTACAATATATATCAACACTGAACTCTATAATAAAGAAGGCATGCTTGAAAAATCTAAGATAAGGCCTCACTAATGACAAAGATGAGAAGCGAAGCCACTGACCTTCCCCCTTTGTCGCCGACAGAAAGCCATGAGGCTAAATCCTGCACACCACACGTGCATATTAGGATCTCGCTGCACAATGGCAACACGAAGGAAGAACAAGCCCTTAGGCATCTTTTATAACGCCACTGAACAACACCGTGCCGCTGGACTTGAAGCGGGGAATCAGGGGTATAGCGCCTCCTCTCACCTCTGCCACATGCCGGCCGGGTTATCCCGCCACCGTACCGACATCACCTCGACCCCCAACCCTCTGTATGGGAAACTTCCCCCCACTGAGGGCTACCTGCGCGCCCGGCGGCTGCGCGGAGAGCACGCGGGCGGTGAGAGGAGGGCAGAGAAGGGGAGGAGCGGTGCTGAGCTGCCTGTAGGCCGCTCCTCCCCTTCTCTTCTCTTCTTTTGCCGCCCGCCCGCTCGCCCGCCCCAGCCGGCGGCACCTCCGGGCGGCGGCTCCTCCCCCGCCGCTCGCCGCGCCTGTGGCAGCCCGGCAGCATGGCGGCGGTGGAGACCCGCGTCTGCGAGACGGCTGGCTGCAGCAGCGAGGCCAAGCTGCAGTGCCCGACCTGCCTCAAGCTGGGCATCCAAGGCTCCTACTTCTGCTCTCAGGTGAGGCCACTAGGCTCCTCTCCCAGCTCGCCCGTGGGGGTGCCCGCCTGTCCTCCTCACGCTGCGGGCCGGGTTTTGATCCGCGGCCCGGCGTGCCCGGCATTACCGCCCTGCCAGCCTTGGGTCCGCCGTCTGTGCCTACAGAAAGTTCCTCCGCACGGTGGGGGACGAGTTGGAGCCCTGGGGGTGCCGGGCCCGCGGCCACGGGTGGGGCGGTTACCCCTCGGGGCTGGGGCAGTGCGAGACTTGGCTGCTTCCGAGCGGACGGGGCGGTAGTGAGGGGTGCGTGGCTTGTCCTCGGCCTGAAGGTTTGGGTGATGTGTGTGTGTGTGTGTGTCCATTAAAAATAAAGGCTTAGTGGGACAAAATGAGACGGGCTCATCAAATTCCAGTGTGTGCGTTTCTGTGTCTGCATCAGCTCTGGCTCTGGAGTTGCTTGTCTTTGATAAACTTGTTGCTTTGAAAACGGATTCTCCTTTTCCTTTAAATACGAGGTTCTGGAAAAATTACTCGCTGCACCTCCTTTTTTTTATGCCTTTAGATATGTTGCTTTAAGGGTACTGAACAGGGAAACTCAGGTTAGGCCAGTTGTCACACAGCCATCAACTCCTGTTAAACACACTCTGTAGGCCTCAGCTACCTTCACTTATTACCGCAGTGGTAATGTAGTTTGGTCCTTAACTTAAATAGAAAGGACTGTCTGATGGCTGTTGAGTGGGTTTGTAGTTTGTTTTTTCAAAAACATTAAAATGCATGGCCTTGTGCTTTGAACTTGTATGTGTAACGTCCGTCAACACTGATGAGGTACGTGGGTTTTAATTTGGAGATTAACGGTGAACTTCGCTGTCAGAATTACAGTTCAGGGTAAAATCTTGACTGTAGGTAAACTTAAAATCATTCAGTCACATAAGCTAAGGATAAAATTAACTTACTAGTTGGATGGTGTTTTTCTGAGTCAGGGTGTACGCTGATAGTTATAGTTTGAATGGGGCTGGGAGAAGACTTCCCACGTGCACATAACACACCCACAGCACGGTTTCTGGTACTTTCCCCTGAAGTCTCTGGTGCCAGATGCTGGTAGTCAGTGCTAACTAGAACAACTGCAACTCAAAAGTGTTCTTACAGTTCTGTACGTTTAGTTCCTGTGTGGTGCTTACGGCTGGTTTGTGGGATTCACGTTGTGTTTTACTACCCGTTTTGACATGTCTGATGTAAACCTCATCATAAATGCATCTTCAGCACATACAGATACTAGTTCATGATGACAAAGCCATTTGTTAACAGATTAAACAATCTTATGTGAGGAGTTCTACTAACATCTTCACTCCACTCTGTCCCATCTCTAACTTCAGCTAATCTTATACAGGATGCAGAGATTCTTGTCATCTATATATTTGGTTTAATTATTTTGAAATATCTGCTACTGTTGTAAGGTTAAAAGGGGAATTACCCAAAATATGTATTTGCTTGTTAAAAGAGACTGCTGGATAACCAACCACATGCTTGTAAGGCTGTCCTGTCTAGAAAATCAAATACTGAACTGTGAATCCCAGTCATCTTACTCCTGAGTGACCTTGGGTGTACTGTTTTTCCTCGCTGTCCCTCACTGTCCTCATCAGTAAAGTAGGTAAGCACAATGATTCCCCAGATATGAAAGGTGCTTCAGAAGTTTTGGGACAACATGTTACAGAAGAGAAAGAAATTAATAGCAGCCTGTTTTCAAGACGTGCAAAAAATCTCATGCACTGAGAGAACAGTCCTCGTGTTCAGCCTGCAGTGAGGACCTTCAGCCTCCCTGAGTACCTCCTGCAGAGCTGCCCCACGACTCCAGCTCTCCCCATCATCTCATATGTGTGATGGAAGAGACTCACCGCAGCACTCCACACGGTCAGGATAGGTGAGAGCTGCTGACAACCTGTCTGCCTGTCCAAATGAGCACACCACAGGTTAAGGAGTTTTGAAAGCCAGGAGTTTTCCTCTGAACTTCCAGCAAGTTTCAGCAGACAGTACTGGACTGGTTAGCATTTGTGAAACTTTTCCAGAGTTCTCTCTTTGTTGGTTTTCCTTCCATTGTAGTATTGCAGACGTAACTGTTAGATAAGCTAGTGAGTGGGCCTCAGCTGTTACTCCACATTATAGCACAGCCTGTGCTGTAGCTGCCATGGTTCTTTTCCTTACTTCAAGGGTGCATGTTTCTACCCCTTCTGTTAAGCTGGCCTTGATTCCTTGGTGAGCCACTTCTGTGGGCTTTAGAGTTTTCTTTTAATGGAGAAAAAGCAGTTGCATTGATGTTTTTATTTTGCTGGTTTAGCTTCCCCAAAGCTTTGCACAGTGGGGTCATAAAACACCAGTGCTCCAGGAGCATGCTGCCAAAGAGCAGGCTTGTCTGTTGTGGCCCAGCACTCTGTAAAGTCAACCCGTCCTTACTGAGTGCAGCGGCGATAGCTAGGGGTATGCAGGCACTGACTCTGGGCTGAGAGCAGGATGGGAGCAACAAGCTACCTGGTGTATGTCTGAGGACACACAGAAGCCTACGATAACTTGTTCACACAGCCAAAACTTCAATCAGAGCTAAAACTGAATTTGTAGGAGTTTGTTTTCTCCAGTGCCAAGAATAAATAGAAAAGTGTGAACTACTGTAGAAAGGTAACCAGTATGAAGCAGTGTGTTTGAATTGTAAGTAGTAACATATAGTTTGCTAAGAAAAAATAATGCAGGATGTATAGGAATGAGAATCTTGGTATAGTGAGGAGATTCATAGAATCATAGAGTGATTTGGGTTGGAAGGGACCTTAAAGGTTATTAGTTCTAACCCCCCTGCCATGGGCAGGAACACCTTTCACTAGACCAGGTTGCTCATAGCCCCATCCAACCTGGCCTTGACTAAACATCATTTTTCATCACTGCACATAAAGAATTCAAGTGAACTTTTCAGATAGAGTGTATCAAGACAGTGATTTCCCCAGTGGGTTGATCATTTGGGTTTCTCCTTTCCTTGAGAAAGGGCATTATTCTCGTCATTTATTTCCCCCTGCATTTCTGCATCAAAAAGTATGCTTCAACAGCAGGCCCCCAAAACACTCTGAAGTAATCTGACATCCTCTGAAATTCCTTTGAGCCAACACTGTTCTATCTCTGGGTGTTGTGCACACTGGAAAACTGCATACAGCTGTTGAATGACAGTTGTGCTTGTGGGTTATGGGTGAAAAGGGGGCCAAGGCAGCCAGGTTCTGGCTGAGCAGGGAGATTTTGAACTGGGAATGGATGGCTTTTAGCAGTGGAAGAGCTGAGGTTTTGTGTTGAACCTCAGCATTACTTTTCTTCCTTTTGCTCCAAGGTGTAAGCAGAGGGAATATTCTGTGGAGGGATTCTGTCTGCTGTTAACCTTTAATAATATCTTCACTTAGACTAATAAATCAGGTTCTGTCAATGCCAGCTACCTTCTTTCATTGTCTTGCTTTCTCTTTTGTAGAGACTTGCTACAGTGTTCCTTGTGTTTATCGTCTTACTTTGAGGTACAGTAATTCAGTCTATCTTCTGAATGTGGAAATAATACAGAAGCCCAGCATCACATCTCAAGTGTATTGTTCCTCTAAGACGAATTTATTATTGTGAAATCTGCCTTTATAGATGCATGTGTCACTTTTGTGTCAGTTGTATACAGCATACATAAACTGTGTTTAAATACACAAAAGATTTAAGTTTCTTCTATGCTTTCTGTAAGCTGCTGAATGATAAACAGAGGGAAAGTATTAACTGTTCTTGAGATTTCCAGTTACTACTATTATATGAGCCTTCTATTTGTAAATTGATCTCTTATTAATAATTTTATGTTGCTTTCGTGGAAACTTCCTCTCTCATGCTATTTATATCTGTGTAAGTGTCTCAGATGAAGCAGAGTAGTTGGAGGTTTTCTGTGGATTGTATGCTAGGGTGGGGGTGTTTCTCCAGCCCAATTCAGAAATACCTATTTCTAACCATGTGCTGGAAACATTCTCTTATAAAGTCAGTCCCTTCCTGCTTTGTGTACCTGTGTGTTGTCAGTCCCAGAGAGGCCTAGGTGTATGAAGTGATCTGGTTATGGAGACGAAAGTGGGGCCTATGATACAGTGAAGCTGCTGCACATGAGCGATTGTTGGACATGTGTTTTAGGTGTTTGAAGGGAAACCATTTCTCCAAATTGTACAGTTACCCACCAATGGGGCTCTTCCCATTTGAGGTGGGGCTTGTTAAATTCTAGTAAAAGGAAAGAAATGCTGCTTTGTTTTCTCAGAGGGTCTGTATACCGATTTACTCCTTTCGGAGAGGCACATTTTCTCTGGTACTCAGCCCTGGGCCCTTGACAGCTCTGGATACTCAAGGTCACGGTGATTTGTTGAAAAACCTGAGAAGTGTGTGTTGTCCTGTCCCCCACTTTGCTGTTTCCTTTTGCATTCATTGTGTTGCAGGTGGGGAATAGGGAGCAGTGGACCTGTATGAAACTATTTTTTATCCTCTCCTGTGTCAGACTGTAGGACATAAGTGCCATATTTCATCTTGGTTCAGTGTTCTTTGCTGTGCCTAAAATAGGCTTAAAACCTGCTGCTTGGATCCAAGTGCAACACGTAAGAGTTTCATTTGGCACTCTGCAGATACCGTCTGCTAGAAGGTCTTTCGACAGATTTCCTTCACCAGGAAGCTGACATTTTTAATTGCCTATAAATCACCATAAATACCTGTGTCTGCTGTAAATGCCTGGTTATTGCTGGTGCACAAATGCTGAGCCCTCGTAATTTTCTGAAAGTAAAACTTCAGACAGCTTTTTGAGCTGTGTTGAGAATACTGAAAGGCCTGTCCAGTTTGAATGTCTCTGGTCCGTTGTTCCTCCACCTGTCTCAAAAATTGCTTGTGTATCTGTGTAAATCTAAAGAGTTGCAAAATGCAGTGTATCCCTCAAAGGAAGGGCTCTGTTATGTGGGACACAGAAGTCTCAGGGTGAGATCAGGCTTTAGATAAAGGAGAAAGCCAACCTTGCTCATATCAAGGTGCTGCCTGTAGGTGCTTCCCTTGACTTGCATCTGAAAATGTGTATTCAGCTCTTCTGAAAAACTGACTGGTCAGGTGTGCTACTTCGGCTGGTTTGGGAATTCTGTACTGAGTTTTCAGGCTAAGGGCTGTCTCTGTGGGCTTGTACAGCACCTGCAAGAATAGGGTTCAGCATGAAGAAGAGGTCACATGTATTAACAATTGCATTCCTCAACATATGTGTATTTACGGATAAAATGTACAGTTAATCTGTATTGTATTAAATATATATTTCACTGATAACCTGATATTTTTCTTAGACTAAATGGTGAACTTCAGCTTCTTTTTTTTGTGTTCTGTTTTGCATACCTTCAGGGTAGTTTGGTTAAAATTGAGTTCGCGGTAAGCAAAACTACATCATCTCAGATTAAACCCGGGACAATTTTACATTAGAACGGACATTTAAAAGTTCTATTAAAATAATTGCTCAGAATATTTTAAATACAGTGTACTGCTTGGCACTGTTTCCTAGACATTTACCTGTTAGAATTCAGGGTATAATGACATGCAAAGGGACAGCCAATCTGTCCCACCGTCTTGATTCCAGATGGTAGGTTTTTTCCCGTTCTTTTATTTTTTTTCATGTAGAATGGGTACTTTTGGAAATTCAGCATGGTGGCTCTCAATGATGATCACAGTGAATGGAGAGGGGTAGTTCTGTGGAAACTGGACATGAGTTTGAGTTCTCAGTAACTTGGGGTGGTTTTTTAGTACCTGCTGATAGGTGTATTTACAGTGTTAAATGCCAGGTTGTATAAAGCAGCACAATCCAAAGGTGAAGGGCAACATGAAGAAGTGTGTAAGCCTTAAGGCTGGAAATCGCTGATGACAAGTTGGCAGAGCCAACTGAAGTGAGCTGCTATCTTGCAAAGTCAGTTCAGAAACACAGTGAGTATGCCTTGGATTCTGTGTTGTGGTGCTTGCACAGCTTCCTGTACTTGGATAGCTTATTTAAAGCTAGTTATGTCTGTGCTATGCAGAGGTTAGCAGTGCAGTTGTATCCTAATCTTGGTTGATTTAGCACCCTTTTATCCTCTGGAATTTGCAGTTGGCTGGGCTTTTCTACCTCTTAATCAGGTTGTGTAGATATATGAACCAAAAGAGTAAGAAGCTCTTTCCTATGACTGTAGAGATGACAGTAAATATAGGGAAAAAAAAATCCTTGCTAAGTAGCTTAGTAACTGTTTTAAGGGGTTTGGTTTTGTTCTTTCAATGACTGGTTGAAAGAAATTAAAGGCCTAAGGTATTTGGTATGTTGGTAGAGAAAATGCACTGTACTGTAAACCAAATTCTGTTGTGCTGCATGATTCTGTCAGTACTCCAACCAGTAAATACGTGTTGGGGCAAGTTCTTACGGTAAAAATCATTTATAGAAGTGACATGGATTCCACCAGGTGATCCAAGAGGAATCTTTCTAGATCATAATGCTGGTTGTGCCTTTGGTTACCTTTTGGTAATGGCCCAGGTTCTGGTGAACACTGGGTTAAGCTTGTCTTTAAACACCGAAGCAGTGGGGCTGGCTTAAGTGTGGCTTGAAGCCAGAAATGCTGTTAAAGGTTTAAATACATTATGACCTCTGTCTAAAAATCACAGTTGTGTTTTTCTTGGTGACAGAATAGTTGTACCCAAGATTGCTCTAAACAAATGGAAGATTACCCCTCCTCCCCCTGCCTTTGTTTATGGTCATATATTTGACCTCTGTTCTTGATAAGCCCTCCTCAGTGTTTCCAAGTCTTCTGTCTCGATTGCTATATAAAAAATGGCTGCCATAAAACCAAAAATGCTGTAGGTGAGACGGGTGGGGATGTTATTATCAGACATACTAATGGATAATGTAGTGTTTCAAGTCAAATCCAGGAGTATTCCAATAAACTTGAAGCCAAACGCATATTATTCATGTATACTTTCTCCCTGAAGCTAGTTAATGTTTTCAAATACAGCCATGTGAGATCATGTATTCCTTTTTTAAACCATATCGGAAAAGATAATTCTTAATATTTTCATTTTGATATTAAAATCAGCCTGGATATTTTTTCCTCAATTTTGTTTATTTAATAATTGAAAATTTCCTATCCTGATCTGTATATGGCATGGGAACATGTAACAATCACTAGAGCCAGGAATGATAACGGAAAGATTAAAGTAAATGTCTCAGCAGAAGGCTGAGGGGAGAAGGCTCAGTGAAAAGCAGATTTTTTTTCCAGAAAATTCTCCAGAAAGTGGCTCAGATGGAGAGAAAGAGCGGCTTTCCTCCATGGCTTGTCAGGAAGTCTGCTGTATAGAAGGTGAGGGTTTATGCAATATGCAGTGGTACATTGGTAGTGCTTTGTTGCCAGAGCTATGATTCTCCAGCCTGTGAGATGACAGCTGCCATATTTTTATCTGGAATTGCCAAGGCAGAGCTCTGCAGGTGTGTGCAGTGAAGTGCTTGTGCAGTAAGTTGTTAAATATAAATAGTTTGTGTGTACCCTGTAAGTCCGATGCTTACAGGAAGCATATGGCTGATCCTACACAAAATATATGGGTTGTAGGTGGATGTGCAGCATATCCTTTGAATGCCTTCCAAAAGTGTCAGATCAAGACAGAGATACTCATTGGCTGTACACTGCATGTGCTTAGAAAAATGCTTCAGACTTGCTGTGTGTACTTGTTGCAATTGATGGATGTGCGTATAGTGCACGTGTCTGGGATGTCTTGGTGTACAGCAGCTTGTTTGGAGCAATGCTTGTAGCAATTCTGATGGAGCTGCTGTTCCTCTGGAAACAGAGGGCAAGTAAAATCTGGGGAACATGTTTGGGAAGACTCAGACATATGGCAGCCTTATGTTGGATTCTCTTCAGTTGTTTACAGCTGCAGGAAATAAAGAGCCAAAGAGGAGCCTGCTGGGTTATGATACTGCCAGTGGTGCGGCGTTTGCCTGGTGTTTTCAGGTTATGGGCCTGCAAAGAGGAGAGACTGTTGGTGTCGGAGAAGGGAATGGCCTTGGAGAATACACCTCAAAATTGCATGGGGAAGGGGAGAGAATGAACTAAAACCAGTAATTGCCGCAGCTGATGTATGTATTCATTCCCAAAATGCTCTTTTGTATCCCAGGAAGTGGAATCTAGATTTGTAGACTTGGTAGCTGCTTTAAGGCTTGGTTGTATAATCCTTCTCCTTCAGAACAGAGGCCTGGTGTTTAAAAGGGTATTAAAACCATACTGATGCTTCCAATGTCCTTGAAATAGGATTTTTAGCATTTTTATTTTTCTTAAAATAGGCCTCAGCTCCTGCTCCTTTTCTCCCAGCTCTCCAACAAAACCAGATCATAATGCAGCACAAAGGTCTGTGTATGAAGCGAGTTATACAAGTGGGACAGCAAAACCTCCTGCTGCTTGTTCAGAAAGATGTTCTCTCTGGTAATCCAGAGTGTCGGTTTCAAGGCCTTTTGTTGCCCAGACGATTATGTAGCACCATGGCATGTTGAGTACCAGTCCAGAGAATATGGTGGCTTTAATTCTGTGGTGTAGGAGAAGGATGACAAACAGCTGCTTTGGGTAATGAGTGGAACAGCACACCAGAGGCTTTCTCTGAATATAGGTATTCTTGTGCATCACTTCACTGTGTTTTTGTGGGTACAGTTTGATAACCACTGGTTGCAAGACTAACAAGAAGATGGGGAGATGAGTCTGCAGGAGTAGACAGTCAAGACTTCTCAGTAGCAACCAGAAGCAGGGGTTACACATCACGCGTAGTTTACAGATCTGCTGCCTTGTGCTGGTTGAGTGTTGTATACATTAGTTTGAATTAGTTGTTGGCTCTGGATGGTAGTTTTAGAGTGATGATTCAGCATTAGTATTGTCTTTCCTTATAAAGCAAAACAGTTTGCTTACTGCTTCTTTTGTCAGAAATTCAGCTGTTATTGTAAATGATTGGAATTAGCTGTTTTCTAATGGTTGTTTTGAGTGCACATAGCCATTGAATTAGACTTTCTGCTACAAGCCCAAGTAATTTCCTAATTAGCACCTTAAAGGATTACCTTTAACGCTGCCTTCTGCAGCTTGTCTTCTTAAATCTCTCCTTTTTTCATGTCTTCATCTTAGTCTTTTTTCAGTCTCCTCCAGCTGCCAGCCATCTCCATCTGCCCCTTTGCTGATTGTCACATGAGCTGCTCTACTTGTGCTTGGACAGAAGAGAAAAAGTCGAGCTCCTCCTTCACAGTCATTCTTGTCTTGATTTCCATTTAAACTTTATTATGGTTTAATTTCCTATTTCCATTCAGTAGCCCTCACTTCCCACCCCTCTTCCCCCCCCCCCCCCCCCCCCCGGTTTATTTGTTCCCTTGTGGTTGTGGTGATTGGCCTCTGTTGCTTTCCTGTGCTGGGAAAGAAGACAGAAGGATGCAATTAGTGAGAGAAGATGGCTTCTTGCAGGAGCCAAGGGAGGACCATCCTGCTAACTGCAGTGCTGTCAGATCTGGTATGGGGATAGACTCTGTGTTTCAGCCAACACAGAACAACTGTGGTGTTTAGTTACTCATTAAAGCGATAAAGGCACAATATTTAGTAGATAGGATTAGATCAGTGTGTTTTACTGTGATGGGTGCATCTGTTTGGCTCTGCTTTCTGTCTGTTCTGGCTCATAAGCTGTTGAATGTAGTATTTTATATTGTTGAGACTAGCAGTTACAGCAGCATTAAGTGCATGTTGCTGCAAGGGTTAATAAAATCTGCCTTCTAGTTTTCTTTTAAAACAGAGATGCTTCTCTTATGGGGATGTTATGTCTGTCTAGGATAATGCTACTTAAACATACATAATGTATATATTTTGTTTGCAATTCTAGGAATGCTTTAAGGGAAGCTGGGCTACTCACAAGTTATTACACAAGAAAGCAAGTAAGTACATTTTTAAAATCCATTTTAATAATGTTTTGAATTTGTTTTTTCCTGTGCAGCCAGCTGTAGATGGCTGTGCTTAAGCAGGGGGTATAGAGGACCTACAGAGGTCCCTTCCAACCTCAACTGTTCTGTGATTCTGTGTCTAAGAATGGTATGGGTGTTTCCAAGATATATGGCACTGGATTCCACATATCTGAAATTTTGTCCAGCTCCTGATACTCTTAAGGATCTATGTAAAATTTTGGACGCAGTGATACAGCTCTGTCTGTTTCCATTCCCTTTTCTTTTTGTGTAAAGCATTCTTCAAGCTACATTGCTAGGTGTGTGAACAAAGAAAAAGGGATGCTGAAATAAAGGGCAAGGAGAATAATAAACCATTATTATAAGGCATTGCCAGGCTTGTGCCATCATAGCATTTTGATACCTAATGTAGAAAAGGCAGTAAAGTGGGAAAGGTTTGTGTGAAGGCTTTGTGGTAAGACACTTGGTGGGATGCAAGCAAACCAGTCAGAGTGTAGGTGTTTAGTATGTTTGGGGTGGTGGACCCCTTTGGGAAAAAAAGGAAGATGCTTTTGTGTACTGATGCAGCCATTCATGGGAGGGTGTATCATAGCTAGGGTTTTGCTGAGTTTAGTTGAAGTCAATAACAGTATCTGTATGCCTTAGTTACAGCTGGTAGCTGTGGCACAGAAATACTAGTAGACTGGTGGACTCTCCCTTATCTGAGTAGTAAAAATACTCCATGAGTTTAAAACCAAACAATCGAACAAAGTCTTGCCTCCTCCCTGCCACTCCCCTGCCCATCTTCAATTCCTGCTTGAAAGGGAGGTGGGAATAAAAAGTAAGTGGCATGGCAGGAATTCAAATCCTCCAGTAATTTATATTGTCCTTTCCTAAAATCCAATAAAACTCCGTTTTCCATGATAGATGTTGCATGGTTATTAGGTTGGAGTAGCACAGACAATTACAAATGTTTTCCTTCTTTCTGCCTTCCTAGCATAAGGGGTCACATAGTTCACACTTGCAATCTGAATCCTGTTACTTTGTACCTGCATGGATATGAAACAGTGTTTGTTGTTAGTACTGGTAATCCCGGGGTACAGTCTTCTGCTGCTGTTTATCTGACAGCAGTTTTTTCTACAGCTCCACTAAATCCATGATCTTGTTAGCTTCCTGGGTAACTGTTGAGCCCAAGCTGAGCTGGCAAGACATCAATGCAACAAACTGAAGCATCTCAAGGGAATCCAAAATACTGCTTCATTAAAACTTTTGGTTTTTAGAGTATTCCTTTCAGTTTATCTAAACTGAATGTCACGTGAGCAGATGGCTCAGCTGTCAGCCACAGAGGCTCTAAGGCACTCAAGTTAGGGCTTGCTACAGCAGACCTTTGCCATCTCTTAATTCTTATGAGATATAAACAGAGATGAGTTAACAATTAATGCTGCTGTGCTCTTTCTTAACCCTTGCCTCCTCTTCCCGAGTAAATATTTTTCCTTTCGGTAATGCTCACAATCCATTTGCTTCAATCCTTTATGCAAACACCTTAAATCTACACCATTAGACTGTGTTATTTGTGAATGAAGTTAGTCACTGGAGCACGCTAGACATGAATTTCACAATGTTGAAAAAACTGGGAACTTCCAGCAGGTTGGGACCATCTTGGAAGGTGCACACACTGCCTGTTATGAAATGCAGAAGTGACAGCACCCGCACTCTCTCCATCAGATCTGGAGGAGCTGTGGGTGCCATGTATTGAAACTTAATAGTTGGATACTGTTAAGCCTTCTTATCCAGGTAATTTCTGCCACTCAATGCTAAGAGGAATTATAGAAAAGGAAAATTAATTTACAGTGCAAGAATGTTAATTGAAGGGATAATTTTTTTCTGTAGAAATATGCTTTCTCCCCAAGAATGAAAACATGCACAGAACTAGGTTTTAGAACTATATATATGAAGAGCAACTTAAATAATTACTACATTTTATTTGTGCATTCAGCACTGCTGTCCTGACATTCCCCAGTTTGCTATTGAATAGAGCTGGCAGGATGTGAATTTTGAATGTGAAAAACTTAAGGACAATACAAAATGAGGACTGCTACTTACACTTTTATATACCAGTGTCTAAAACACCAGCAAGAGTCGGATCTGGACTGATGTACTTCTGAGTCACTTTCTCCACCCCACAGTTCTTATTCTCAGTAGGACTGATTTTTGCTGCTGCCTTTTTTTTTGTCTTTTCAGAAGATGAAAAAGCTAAGCGTGAAGTTTCCTCTTGGACCCTGGAAGGTGATGTTAACACAAATCCCTGGTCTGGTTATCGATACACTGGTAAACTCAGGCCACACTATCCACTGGTAAGCAACAGGTGCCACTGTACTCAGTTGCTGCTACATTCTGTAGCAACTAATGGACCAGTCCTGACTTATTACTTCACATTTCAGATAAGAGAGGAAAGCTTCTTAAGCAATCTGAACCTGATGGCAAGGACATGTATGACTCTGTCCATATTTTTTTGTGGTTCATTTTGATTTAACTTCATCTATCTCTTGGTATATTTAAAATTGGGGAAGTGCCTGTGAGGTAACATCCATCAGTAACAGGCTTAAGCTCATGCCTTTTGGCTGTATGTTTTGACATGTATTCTGCTGCTAGTTGAGATGATGTCTCCTAGCTCTTTACTGTTCGCACCAATAATGGAGCAGTCTGTTTTGGAAAAACTCAAATTAATTTTGAATTAAAAAAAGGTTTATTTTATGTAAATGGTTTGAAATAATCTGGTGAATGAGCTGGTGAACAGCTTTGCTGAAGGAACAGAGGTTGTGGTGACCTCCAGCACTGGAATGGTGAAGAGTAACTGAGATAATAACATTCTGAGCCTTGAAAGTTAGATTTAGAACACAATCTCAGTATAGCTGTATTTTAAAATTGGTATAAATTTATACATGGAATGAGCCAAAGTTTTTACCCAAATTATGGCATTTCATTTACATTTGTCTTTTCTAATTGGCCTGTGGTAGAAATGCTGCCCCTGTGGCATCCTCTCTATGGTCTTCCCCATCTGTCACAGGCTCTAGAGAACAGATTAACAGAGCCTGAGCCTATGTGTGTTTGTTAGTGTCATTGAAGAAAGGGTGTTTCGGCTCTGTCACTGGCTAAGTAATTTAGTAGTGTTACCGCTTTTTTTTGTCTTCTGACTGCTGTAGGATTATTGATGCAAATGAAACTATAATAAAAAGTGCTAATGACTAGGGTGATGACTAGGAATAGCAATTTTGCTAATAGACATTAATAACCAGAGAGGAAGGATGCCTTTGGAACCAGTGCATTTGCCATCTGGAAAATAGCAGAATAAACACCACAGTGTAACGGGATAATACGGTATAAAACCAATCTCATTTACTTGACACACAAAAGTTCAGTCTTTCCAAAGCTGTGATGTTGGCTGTTAGAGGATGTATAATATGAAAGCGGTAAAGAGTAGTACGAGAATCTTTAAGAAAAGAAAATTTGATGTGTTTTGGAGTGTTTGCATACTTCACAACTTTTTTTTAGTGTAATTAGCCATATTTCACTGTATTTAATTTTGCTGAATGAGTCTCTGTTTTTGCGACTGTAATAAGTATTTATGCAACCTAACCAGCTCTGATCATGATTTATCTAGACGCCAACGAGACCTGTGCCAAGTTATATTCAGAGACCGGACTATGCTGATCACCCACTAGGTAACTTAAAGCAAATCACAATTATGGAGTACCATTGTTTGCTTTATATTTTTCTTTTAATTGAAAAGCCTTTAAAGCATGAAGGAGACACTGGAGAAGGGAACCATTTATGTGTTCTTCTCAAAGTAGCTAAGAAAAAAAAACAACCTTTCTATGAATAGAATAATTTCCTTGTAAGTCTGATTTTCAAGGTTGTGTTATGACTAACTAGCGGCGATGGTTTTATGCAGTAAGTGAACAGGTATCCTGAGCACATGCGGTCATTACGATGTTGTGGAAGGCTTATGAATTCAAATTAATATGGATAATGATGATAATGCTTTGACTTAGTGGGTTCATTACTTTAGTCTGTAGTGAGAATGTATGTACTTTTATGCCATTGGTAAGCCAAATAAGTTCCTTGATTGGACATGTGTAACAATCACTCCTCCATATAATGTGGTTTGTTTATTTCTTTTTCTCCTCTGCCTTTTTTCTTTTCAGGAATGTCTGAATCAGAACAGGCTTTAAAAGGAACCTCTCAAATAAAAATACTCACATCTGAGGATATAGAAGGGATGCGAGTAGTGTGTAGGGTAAGGGGGCTTTGGTTTTAATGGCGAAGTGCCTTTATTTGTCAGCAATCCATAGTGATTTTACCAGTTTGTGACAGCACATGTGACCCTACAAATGTTTAAAGCACTTTTCAGCACTGAAAAATAGTTTGGGAAAATAGGTATTTCTTGCTTTTTTTTTTCTCCTTGTGACTCCCAATTCACAATAAACTGTTTTGCAAGCAGAAATAATAACTTTTATCTATTTTGTCAGTGAGATAACGTGTGGCTGAAACGTTGTTTCTGCTAAGAATATATTGTATCATGCGTAAATGAGAACAGAACTTTTCCCTCAGAGTTAGTACTAACTAAAAACTAAAAGGTGAAACAGAGTCTTATCCCTAACAATTACTGAAGAAAAGCTGTTCAATTGTAATCAGTTTCTTGTGCATAAAGTCAAACACTGAAATGTGTTCAGGTAGTCTGAGTTAAGATTATGGTACCCTAGGTAATTGTGGTCCAAATTTTAGTCAGAGGATTTTCAAATCTCACAGATGTGGCTTAGTAATATAACCCATAAACATCTGAAAGTTTTTGTAGAGGCCAAGTGTGCCCAGCTTTTCTAGCATTCTTGGTGGTGGTGTAGAAAACTGATAGTTAATTGTCTAGGAAGTAGTGTTGGTCTTATTTTACGTTAGTACTTTTGGTCTTATTTTACATCAGTACTTTTGTTTGGTTTGCAGCTTGCTAGAGAGGTATTGGATGTTGCTGCCATGATGGTGAAAGCAGGAGTAACTACTGAAGAAATTGATCACGCTGTCCATTTAGTAAGATTATTTTATTGTTCTTTCAGCATTTATAAGTGCTTTCTTTTCTCTCTTTCTTTTTGTGTTGGTATTGCATGGTTTTCTTTGTAGTTGCATGAATTACCTTTTTTAAACTGTTTCCCATTTTGGAGTATGGACGTTAGAAATATGTGTAGGTTCAAAATGAGCTAGGAACTCCTGGGTGCCTCTCTGTATCAGCTCCTTCTGTGATTTCCAGCTTCAGGTTCTCTCTGCTTCCTCACCTGTTTTCTTGGTTAACATTATATAATTTTCTTTTTTCTAAACGTTTTTGCTCCAAAGATACCATTATATAAAGAACATCACATGTAGGCCATGAATGTTGTGTCCTCTGTGGTGCTGGGTAAGACGTACAGAGGAGAAAGGTTAATTATTTATGACTGGGAATCGGAAGTGAGGAGCCTCAGAGAGAATTGAAACAAGATGTTTGATGCAGTCACGCAAACTAAAGCCCAGTCCAGTGAAGTATTTGAAATGAAATATATTCGAGTATTTTCCTCTCTTATCTATTCATAGATACTTGAATTGAGTAATTTTTATTTCTCTTGGCTCTCTTCTCTGTGCAGCGTGTCAGCTGATAATTGGGGATACTTGTGTGCACTGTGGGGAAGGCAGTGATTATAGATAAGTTTGTTAGAGAGCTTTCTGCTTGCTGATCTTTTTAGAACAGACATGCAGATAAGCATTTGCAGCTGCTGAGCCAAGATTATAAAGAACTTACTCTGGTTTGATTGGGCCACAGGTTTCGGCTGAACTGCATTAAACCCTAAACTATTTACTTATACATAATGTGTAATGTGGGCAACTAGTAGTTTAAATGGTGTTACCCCTCCTCAGCAGTTCTTGGAAACCTTTGCATGGCAGATGGCTGACAATGACCAATCTCTTCAATTGGTAATTTACAGTCTTAAAATGTTACCCTTTGTTTTTAAATGGAAAAAGTTAACACAGTATTCCAGAACTGCTCCGTATGTCTCAGAGTGTGTAGACACATGTATATAGAAGTATGTATAAAATGTATGTATCAGTTTTGCAAACATCTCCAAAAGGTTATCAGAGGGAGTGCAAAAGACACAGTTTAAGGTCTCAAAGCTAGGGGTGAAAGAGTGGTGCTAAATGTCTAACTTGTGTTTTCTGCAAAGGTACTTAGACCATGTGCTTAAAAAGTCATTGAAAATGATTCAGTTTTTTAGCTGGATAAGTATTTTATGCATTATTTTAGACCTGAATATTTTAGCATTTGTAGTTGAATATAAAAATGAGTAGAAACAAAATTAAACTCTTTACTGTCTTCCTGTAAGAAATGCAAAGCATAACAAAATAGTGTAACATTAAAAAAATGCTTGAAGAATCTTTTCCAAGGGTCACTGCATTTTAACTTGTCATTCTTACTGTAAAGCCATTGTGCATCTGTTTGTACAAAACTGACTAATGTAAAGTATAAATTGTATTTTCTAAATTAGGCTTGTATCGCAAGGAATTGCTATCCTTCCCCTCTGAATTATTATAATTTCCCAAAGTCATGTTGTACGTCAGTGAACGAAGTGATCTGTCATGGAATTCCTGACAGGAGGCCATTGCAGGAGGGAGATATAGTTAATGGTAAGTGCTGTGAAAATTAACCTTCACCATTTCTACCTTTTATTCAGTTAAACCATGCAGTAAGATGAGGTTTCACTAGCAGAGGCTTTTGTTCTCATTTACAAATTAACCTCTGTTCTTCATATATTTAAATCAATGATTTTAATAAAAGAATTTTAAAAGTTTGGTTCATTTTAAGAGCTTTAGAATACTTATACCCTGATCTGTGCATTAGTATACTACCTGAGTATTCCACTTGTGGGGTAGGCTCCAGTTGTTCCAGACTGCATAAATAGTGAATAAATTTTATATTGAATTATTGAATGGGATTAGTTCTGCATGAATTCTTAATTAGATGGCTCTAGATCCTTAAGATTTTGCTACAGACATGATGACTGTCATGACTGTAAGGATCCTAATGGTGAGGTGCTGTATAGGTACATATTAAAAACATACACTTTTCTTGAGCATTTTGTCACCTGACAGTACTAGCTTCATTTTGTTCATGGTACTCAAGGTACTTACACCTTCTTGGGTGATAAGGAATACTTAAATTACTTGACCATTTTCTGTTTCCACATTCATTTTTTCTTTGCTTGTCATGAAAAACTAATGACATTGGTTTTGTAGAAACATTTGCAGCTTTTTTTATTGCATTGGTTTGCTTTTCACTTATGTGTAAACAAATACCCAGTGTATCCTAAGGTTTGGCCTATCTCTAGAAGCAGGTTGGAATTCTTTTAGATTGTCAGATATTGGGTGTGTATCGACATGCAATAAGAGCTATTAAGTCTCTTCAGAATGAGCCTCATGATTGTTGCCCGTTTCTAGGTCAGGCTGATAGCTCTCAGCTGTAGTGTTCATGTAACCATTTGGCCAAGGCTCCTTTATCTTTTTTTAATTTCAAAGATGGTGCCTTTGCACAGCTCTGTTGTTGCCAATTTTTCTGGCATTGCTGGCCGCCTGAGAAGCCTAGCTGAGTTTACTAGGTTGGCTTCATCTATACGGTGCCTTACCTCTCCACTATTTGCATGCCAAAGCTGTATATAATGCCTTTTATAAAAGGGTTTAGTCATACCATTGTTCACATCCCTGCCTTGACTGCATTTGCCCAAGCTTTGAGCCTTCTGCTTTCTTTTGATGAAGAACAACTAGCTTACTCTTTTGTAGGTCTTGTTACAAAATGGCCCCCATCTTATGGGTAGAACATCCCTTCCCCATGGGTTCAAAAGGCTTCCAAGTCTTGTAGGCTTCTTTTTGTAAGGAAGTGACTCAAAAGCCACTTTATAATAAGGAATAAAACACGGCTCAAAGGAGACAGAAAAAGTGCTTTAGAGGGAATGTGCCCAGTGAACAATAGAGGGAAGTGCCCATATTTCTCTTTACTTAAAATTTTTTTGCCTGCTGGAAGGAAAAGGTGGCCATGTCAGAGTCCAAAACAGGTTTTTGTATCACAGGAAAATGTCACCCAAAAGGTACTGGCAGGTGATGTCTAATCCAACACTGTGCTCTGAGCAGGCATCATAACATTTAATCATATTGTTCCCTGGGAGCAGATTCTTAAAGCTCATATACCTACAAGTGAGTGAGATGTTCTGGCCAAATCTGGTAATGTCAAGAGAAAGTCTAGTAATCACATGTCCTGTTGAGACAGCCTCTTTGCAGCAAGTATTCTGGACACTGTGCGAAGGAGCTCTGATAGACGGTTCACAAGAAACTTACTTGGATGAGTTACTAGGGTCCTGTTGTTAGTTACTAGGTAATACTCCAGTAGTCCCGCACAATCCTGCAGTGAGTATAGTGTAACCCTGTATGTGCACACATCCACAGCAGGCAGGATTGGTTTTGTGCAGTGTTAATTTCATTCTTAAACGTTGCCAGTACAGATTTATTGCTGACACCAATGGTTTTGCCCCACATTTTCCTGTCAAAGCTGTACTGGTCTCTCTAAGGGGCTCATGCAACATATTCCTAAAGTGTTATTGCCCAGTACAGTTTCCATCATGGCTGTGTACCAGTGAGGGCTAGTGGTTTTGGTACAGCTATTAGACCTACCAGGATACTGACAAAAGCCTGATAAACACAGAAATGCCCATTCTACCACAGGAAGTCAACTCAATATGCAAATCTAGAATATTTTGCTTGTGTTTGCTATATATGATGACTAATGTTTCACTTGTCTGCTATAAAAGACAGGATACTAAAATAGTTGTCAGCTGTTTCTAAACTGGTAAGCCTGTTCCCATGTTTTGTAAAAAGACTACTTGTAGCAAGCATCTTGTATGGATGTTCTTAACAAAAAAAAAAGTGTATCTTTTTTTGTAATGAGTTAAACTAAAAAAGCTTTTTTTTTCTCATTGAAATTACTTATGCTGCTATTTTTCAAGACTTGAGTTATATCACTTTCAGTTTACAACCAACTTTATACACAAAGCAAACGAGTTTTACTGCAACATAATTCTAAACTCTTACTATATGTTCTTCTAAACCTTGGTTGTTTAAGCATGCCCTTCTCATTCTTGCTGTTTGCCTGATACTAAATGCTTAAATTCTTTCATTTGAAAGAAGAAAAGAAAAAGTTCTAAGTAATTTGGTGTATTTTTCTTAGTCAAGAATATTACTGGAAAAGTTGCTGTGTATTCAGTGTTGAAGAAATGTTACCTTCTTGGCTGGAAGCAGTGGGTTTTAGCATTACAGTTTTTGCAAAGGTGTAACTACTCTAAACATGCATGGAAGTTCTTTCACAAATCAAGAGACGAAGTGAGAAATACAGTGCTAATATTGCAGTATTTCTGATATTCCTTGCAGTGGATATTACTGTCTATCGTAATGGCTACCATGGAGATCTGAACGAGACATTTTATGTTGGAGAAGTTGATGAGGGTGCAAGGAAGCTTGTCCAAACAACTTACGAGTGCCTAATGCAGGCCATTGATTCAGGTAAACCCTTTGGAGAGGGCCTGAAGCATTTTGGTTTCAATTCTCAACCGTGAATGCTCCTGTTTGCTACTATGGGGAGTGACTTCTGTTGTAGGACACGGAAGTGTTAGTGTGTGTCACCAGCAAATGATGTATAATACAGTGATTCTTCAAATGGCACAGTTCTGTGGGTGGTGTTGCAACTTTTACTTGTAATGTGGGTTGACAAGGAAAATGTAATTGATGTTCAGCTGATCCACATATGATGATACTTAAATGGAAACAGCCTTTTTAGACTGTTAGATGAATAAAACATCCTCGAACCAAGTTGTTTAGAGAATGTGAAGAACAAAGTGTGTTTGGAAAATCAAAGTATTGAACAATGTTGCACAATGAGCCGATAAGGCAAAAAAACTCTCTGAACATTTAAACATATCTCTGTCCCTTCCAAACTTGATGGTTATTTTATAAAGCTAATTACAAGCTTTTCATTTTCAACTTTATGCAAGAAAAGACAGATCTATATCCTTCAGTACCCACAGAACTTCAATTGTGTTGCTTAGATATGTCAGGGCAGCTTCACTGAGACATACCATGAGATAGAAAGAATGTCATGTTCAGCTTCATTCACAAAGGAATATACTATGTTCTCTTAGACAAATGGAGAAAAGAAACCAGAAATCTCCCAAATGCCTGGAAATATTTGTATTATCTGTATTTTTTTATACCCTGCAGGTTTTTAAAATCCCCAGTAAAATTTACTTACTTCAAGGCCTTTGAAGACTGAAGTTTAAGGTGCTAGATCTGAAGTCTTTAAACTTGCATTTAATCAAAAATAAATGAAAAAAAATACTATAGTAGCTTACTTTGGTTAATAATTTGGAGATGGCTAGCCAAGCTGAGAAGACAAATCCATGTGAATGATACCTTGCATATCCATTGTGTGATCAAGAAAGAACTGCAGAGTTGAGCTGTGAAGAACATAAATTACCTGTTTATGTGGGATTACTGTTAAAAAATAGCCACTTTGTTTGTCAGAGATAATCAGAATAATGTTTATCTTTACTCCTGTACTTTATTCTTATAGCAAACGTTACATGTGTCATCTTTCATATCCTGATGTATAAACTAGGACAGAAATCCACCTTCGTGTTAATTATAGTAAGATTTAAACTCTCAGTGTAACTTCACCAGCTTTCTAGATGCTGTAGCAGGTTCTAATGGGTGTTAGACATTCCCTGTTAGTAGGAATTCTGGCAGCAAGTGTCCTGGCTCTGTTGCAAAAGGTTGCCTATCCCCTGTTTAAACCATCTTAATTTCTTGGCACTGTACCAGCAGAACTCTCACTAGGAGAGTTTTATGAGAGAGAAGCAGAGGGCTCCTTGCTGCTTTGAGATGAGTTGCTTGATATTGTTAGGCCTGAAGAAGATGGTGCTTCACAACTAGTAGCATAAAAACAACAGATTGACTTTTCCTGTCTTTCTCACCCTGTCTTTTTAATTTTTTAATTATTTTGGGAAAAGCTTGCACATTCTAGTAATCTAAATTTCTTTATTTTCCGTAAATTCAACTTACATATTTAAGTTGTAGTTGTTTAAGTTAGCAGAGAATTTTACTAAGTGGCTTTGTTCTTACGGAGTTTTAGCTGTGTATGTGAACTCTGCTTAAGATGCTCCACATAACCACACTACATCTGGCTCCTGAAGGAACAGCATGCATTCAGGGAGTTGTGAATGATCATGAAATAGCGTTTACGTTCTTTATTTTTTAGTGGCTCAAGGTTGCTTTTGGTATGCATCTTCATTGGCTGATGGAGGAGGCATTGTTGCTTTTATGGCATTATTACTCCCTTGTCCAAGTGCTCAAAGTGATTTCTTTCACACAGTATTCATTTGTTTCAAGCTCTTAACTTTTAAGGCTTCCTAAAAAGTTAGCCCTACATGTGAACGTTCTTATTTGCTGCAATGTTGCCAGTAAAAATCTTGCAGAGTAGAGATACCCATTTTGTTTTCTCCCCTTCTTGGTTCTTCACGTATAATCATTTACCTCTTTATCTGTGTACACTTTTCACATATTAGTAGAGAGATAAGTTTGTACTGAAATAGAGTTCATGCATTCATTGAACAAAGCACTGCAACTATTAGTATGAGAAGTTACCAAGTACTTTCATAGAATCATAGAACAGTTTGGGTTGGAAGGGGCTTTCAAAGGTCATCTAGCCCAAACCCCCTGCAATGAGCAAGGACTTTGAAAGCCTTTCATTGTCTTTAGTTCCAAACTTCGGTGTCTTTTTAATATATGAGCACTTATATCCACAAAAGGAAGAAAGTAGAGTTCTTGTGAAGGAGTTTTCTTATTCTCTCATTTTCTCTTTTACAAGAGACATTTTCCTCCCTCTCCCACATTACTGCACTCACTTTTGTACTTGGTGGATTAAGTGATGATAGGAAGTTGCATTCTAGAACAGATTGCCGCACAAGCTGTGAGCATGGTGTTTGGTTAGTTAGGTTGAAAGCAAGCATTATAAATTTGCATCCCTCTCTTTAATTTTGCAGTGAAACCCGGTGTTCGGTACAGAGAACTAGGAAACATTATTCAGAAACATGCTCAAGCAAATGGATTTTCAGTGGTTCGGAGCTACTGTGGGCATGGAATCCACAAACTTTTCCATACGGCCCCTAACGTGCCACATTATGCCAGTGAGTATTCATTCCCTTCAAGTTGTCCTGTAGACAAGAAGTGGTTTGCGTTGAATGCCCCCAATTTACTGTTTTATTCAAACAAAGTAGCATGTTACCTGACAGCCATTAAGGTAGCATTTTTGCATTCATGAAATAAGTTTTGCTGAACTCTAGACCATTGCATGCTTTATGAACCTAAATATGGTGAATTTATCAGATATTTAGACAATTGTGCCTACACTAATGGATAGCGTTAGCTCTCATCTGTACTGAGTAAGTGCTCAATGTTTTTGCCTGAATTCTCAGCTAATCCCTTAAACATCCTTGTCTGACATGAATGGGCAAATGTTTCTATCCTTAGAAGGCCTATAATGCCATTTCCATATGTAAGTAAAAGGCTTTTTGAAAGGGGATGAAGCCTTTCTTCAGTCAAACTACACTCCTAGAGATGTGCTCTGCATCAGTTCCCGTGCCTCCACACAAACATTTTTGGTGTATATCACATTGGAAATTTCTGGTGTTACTGTCCTGGATGCCTTGGAATTCTCTGCCTTTTTATGTTTGCTAAAGACATGCAGTATTTTCACTCTGACACTGCTATGACCCCATTATGCAGAGTAACAAGGGGGGGCAGTGTGTCTTTCATAAATGGCATCAAAGGGTTACTTAACCACAATCATATTTGGACAATTTATTTGAGTTAATGGTTCAGTGGAAACAAATTAAGAGGTTTCAAACCTTCCCTGAATATCTTAAGTGCTTCTTATGTGTATTGATTTTTTTAATGACGATTTTCATCATGGAAGTCTGCAGAAATTCCCCTATTGCAGTTGTTCCGTGTTTTCATAGAACTGGAGTTGGACTCCAGTTACTGGAGAGAAAGATGGCAATTCATTTTAAACTCCTTGAGTAAATACTGTGGTGTTGGAGGAGGGGGAGAAGGAAAATACTTAGGGAGCCCTTAATGTAGAATTAAAAATGAACAAGTGAGCAGGTCATCTCTGAGGAGCTTTTCTAAATTCACAGTATTCCTGCTGTATTATTCTAGGACATGGATTCATTCATTTACTAAGGTGGGATCACTTTTTCTAACATGATTATTTTTTTTTTTTCCAGAAAATAAGGCCGTTGGAGTCATGAAGCCAGGTCATGTATTTACAATTGAGCCAATGATCTGTGAAGGTGAGCCATTTAGCAGTACAGTAAATTGGTTACTGTTATTTACCATTCAGTAGTGATGGAATAGGATGCTGGTTCTATTTGGTACAGTTGATAGGTTTTTCGTTTCTCTTTGGGGAGCTGTGTCTTTTACTTCAAACCAGTCCAAAAGTCACCATTTATGTTTTCAGGTGGCTGGCAAGATGAGACATGGCCTGATGGGTGGACTGCAGTGACACGGGATGGAAAGCGCTCTGCCCAGTTTGAACACACACTCCTGGTCACCGATACAGGCTGTGAGATCCTGACACGGCGGCTGGATAGTATTCGTCCCCATTTCATGTCCCAGTGAGCGCTTAGACTGAGCAGGTGGAGCTGAATGATCCTTTTTTTCTTTATTTTTGTGTCTCTGTACTATGCATTTTGTTTAAGAGTACAGAATAGAGATTTCAGCATTTACTTTGTTCTCAGTGATTAAGATAAGAGGAATATCTTGAAGAACCTGAGGAAAGCAGAGAAGAATTTAAGGAATTTCCTGCTTTACCCACAATACTCATGCTGTATTTTTCTTTGTATTTCAATTATCTGTTTAGCACCTTTCTTCCAATTAGACCCACAATTGCTTCTGTTACTGCCATATTAGCTAGAAAAGTGTGGGTAACCTTTCCCACTGGGACTTGATATTTTGGGATCCAGGTTTTTTCACCACTTTAATGTGCCCTGTCACTCTTGGGATGTGAGTGGCACCTGAGATTTTAAGCATTTCTAGTTCCAAAGACTTGCTCCTGCTTCTGGAGGTACTGTTCTAATGGGCTGGGCCTTGTTTATCACTTGAGAAGGGGGCAGAAGGGAAAGACACATGCATGTTGCCAAGAATAAGCTACCCTTACCTTTATTTTTGTTCCCGTCTCCCTTGTGATGGCCTCTGTGGTGATTGCAACTTAGGTGACACACTGTTAATGGCAGGACTTGTTTCTCTTGCTGGAGATTTGATAGTATGGGCTTTCTACAGGGAAAAATAATAAATTCTGTTTTATATGCAACTCCCTGGAATAAGCTGCTTCTTGGCAAAGCAGTATTTCCAGGCAGTCTCCTGCTCCAAAAGCTCCGTGGAGCTGATGTGTCAGACTTGCCTAGGTAAAGGAACAAGTACCAAAAAGATCCCAAGATTCTTGGGATCCCTGAGTGTGTGAACTGTGGGACATTTTTTTTAAAGGTACCTCCACAGAGCTGTGGGGGACAGGATTTGCAAGACTTGCAATGAAAAGAGTACATGCATATCTCAAAACAAGTCTGTGAGCAAACGAAACACCTTTGATGCTGTATTCATTTTGGTAATTCCTGAACAGGTCATGTTTTTCCCTCCCTCAGTTAAGTGAGTTTCATGCTTTTGGGAATGCTAAGGGGGCAGCTATAGAAATGATTTTTATTTTTTTTTTTTCTCAGACTGGGCAATGTTAGTGTATATATATATCCCCCTTTATTTTCTGTTCATGGGTAATGATGAGCTGGAAACTGTCATGTTAAAGGCTATGGATTGATTAAGCCTCTCTTCTCTCTACCCTGTTCCCATACCCGCTTTACCCACTTAGGTCCTCTCCACCATCTTTGGTGTTTTAGCTGAGGGAATTTATTTTTTTCTTCTGAATTGTAATGAAAAAATGTTTCAGACCCCACTGCAGACTTAGTCTTACACCACTGTAATGCAAGAAATAGTTAAACCAATGCAGACATTAAATCACACAGTCATGGGCATAAAATACACCTTTTATATGGTGTCTGATGAATTTGTTGCCACATTAGACCCAAGCGTATGAGGTACTGCATACCATACCCTTGGCTCCCCTTAGCACTGCAGAATTTAGGTGGGGGAAAGGGGTTAGTGCTTCATAAAACTGGACTCATGTACTACCAAATACCAAACTTGCCAGAAAATGTCTTCTCTGCCCTGAGTGCCTCAGACCTCTGTTGCTGTAAGAGCATCATTGCAATGTTTTCATTACCTTTATTGTTATTTTTAATTATGCAGTAAAGTGACCTGAACTGATACATAAGGAGTGCATGTGTGTGTGTGTGCGTGCGTGTGTACAGATTTTAACAGAACAGACTGTAGTACTTGATTTGAGTTACCTGTGTTGAATGAGATGTAATGTATTGAGGAGATGACTGTCCTGAAGGTTTGCCCACCATATCATTCAATTGAATGGTTACAATGGTCTTGCCTTTTCTATATATGTGTGTATGATGGGTGGGTGGGGGGGTGGCTTCACTTTTGGTCTATAAAATAAAAGTTGCAGCTGCTTTTAACAGAAATAACTTCTTGTGATCCAACCCAGATGTGACATTCTTGGTTATATCCAGGTTTGCTTGCACTAGTGCAAGCCCTTAATGGTATATGCACGCAACCAGTCAAAAATCTCCCTTAAACCAGCAGGTGTGCCACTGGAATACCTCTTTGTCATTGTACCAATACAACCAAATTTAACACTGCACATTTTTAATATAGGTAAGCTCTGAGGCTGTGCATTTCTGCCTATAAATTGAAATAATAGTGTGAGAATTGTTTATACTGAGTTCATACTACTAGAGTGTTTTTAAACAAGTAGAAAGCTTAGCATCTACACCAGGTTTTTCAACAGGAGATACAAAACTTGCTTTAAAATATTGTGAAAGTCTATTTTCTCACCTATTCATCTGAAACTTTGCTTGAAAAGACTAGATTTGTACTGACTGGATTTGGGAAATTACCTGGTTTTGATTCTTACAGAAGTTGCTATTCACTTAAAAACAAAAAACTCAACTTAAATCTATTTTCTAATGAAATTTTTATAAACTGTATACACTTTTGCAAGAAAACCAACCACATTCCTGCAAGTAGTTCTGAAGCAATTTCTTAGTATATTCCCCTTACTATCATGTAAGAGCGTATGGAAACTCTTCATGCTGCTTCTGCAAGTTGACATGAATATTGGAGGAGAGAAGATTTGATAGCCAATTTTGAATAAAAGTAACAGGATGAAGAGAGGGAACAAGCTGCATCTGCTGCGTGCCAGCCAGCGGAGTACATACACGTTTCACATAGTCATTTGGTGGAAACACATTTTGTCCACTGAAGTCCTTACAGATGGTGTGGTTCAGTCCCCTGCTCACCAAGAATGGGGTACAAGGTCTTGAGTTTGAGTCCTGTTGCTAGCTCAGCAACTTCAAAGAGACTATTTCAAACATGCTCCACTGAATCAACTACTTTGCAGGAAAAAGTAGTCTGAAAGCTGCTATGTAACAGCTAGGCCATCAGTTCTTCAGACTGGGAAGAACCTGGAAGTCTTTGAGTGCTCTGGTATCACTAAATGTCTTTTGTTGTTACTTTGGTATGGCAAGACTAGCTTTCCACTCGTAAAATGCAGATTCTCTAAGTAATAATGTAATGCAGACAACATGATTATATGTTCTTGATCTAGTCTGCACAGCCTAGAGGAACAACTGTTACAGTATAAATACTTTAAATCTGTTAGATCCAGTTGGGGGTAGTTTTGTTAAGATGTTGAGCTAATATTATGTTGATACCATCTTACAGAAAACTCTCGCTGGAACGGCTTGACAGCAAGTTTCTACTGATCTGTCTAATGTTTAGCCAGCATTTCTGAGCTATAGGGTACTGTCTCTTCACTGCTGTGGTGGAGGGCTCACGTTCCTGGTACAAACTCACTTTGCTCAAAATTGAGTTCTTATGACATTCACAGGAGTCAATGCTGTTGTTTACCCTGCCTGAAATGAAGTTAGGAAAGCAGCTCCCTCAACTATTTTTAGGATGCTCTAGGGATACCTTGCTAATGACAAATGGGAAAGATGTAATTGTCCCAGTTGTACAGCAGTGACTTGAGTAAGGCAGTTGTTAGTGTTGAGAGGGAATTTCTTCTAATACGACCTTTGTTTGGATTCAGGGTTTCCTGGAAGAGTTGTTTTGACAAGGCTCCCTGAAAATATGAAACTTCTCTCTTAAGCAGTGTCCTTGGGTCATTGAAAAGCACTAACTTTTGCTGTTACAACTTCAACTGGGTAGCCTTTCTGCCTCTGCAGTCTGTTTTCTGCTGTTCCTCTGTGTTTTTTAAGGAAGTTTTATCCAGTCACATCACTTCAGCTATAGTTAAGGAGAAAATCTGCAACTCCAACATTAAGATTTAAGCCTTCCTGCTCCAAAAAGACCCCAACCAAATTAATTCCACAAAACCCTGAAGCCTTTATGAAACAATGCTCTTCACTGTTGTTCTGCTGCATCCATCAAGAGCAGACCGTGGCTCTAATAGTAACATTCCACGCTTGACTAAATAGTGGTAACAATCCCACACTGTTTATCAGTGTTAGCTGCAAAGGCTGCTTCAACTGTGCCAGTACATTTAAGGAAATGGCAAAACTGCCACTGAATGAAGTCTTAGAGGACACCACTAAGGCAAGTGACCAGAGTAGTCTGTGTCATCACCTTTACAACAGGCCTACCTACAGGTACTGTAATAGGGCAGAATAGGGACTTCCCAAGTGAACCTGGGTACAGCTGGACACTTAGGTCATACATCCAACCACATTCTGCTGTACAGCTGGCTTCAAGGTAGGGCTGGGTGGAACATCGTTGGGAGTCCTAGAGCAGCCTCAGAAGCCTGACAACTGTCAGGAGTTCTTGCCATTCTCTCAGTGCAGTTTCAGCCACATCAGTGCTGCTTCTCAACCCAGCTGTGCTTAGCAGACTGCCTAGAGTAATGAATCGCACATCATTTCCTACTGATGCTGAAGAATGCTCTGTCATGTACACACATACTGTAAAGTCATTAGAGGAAAACAGTCAAGACACAGCAATCATAGTCACAGTCTTACTGCTCAATAATTCCAACACTGCTTAGAAATAAGCTTTTATTAAGTAGATTAATGGAGTTAGGAACTATCGAATTAGCACAACCAGTGCTAATTATATAACACTATTCAGTGGTTACTGATTGTTTTTGTTATTTAACGTCCAGAATGCTCACCCTAAAATACATCATCTTCCTAGTCCCCGTGAGCTTTCATTTGCTTGGTTCTGTGATTCTATCAGAAGTTCCATTATAAAAGGAGAGTTACCATGTTGCTGGTCAACTGGAAGGTCCACGTTTGGTTCTAAAGCTTTAGAACAGTTCGAATGCTTAAAATGCAAAAGGAAAAAGAAAAAAATTACCAGTAAGTCAGTTTTCTCCCCTTTCTTCCCTCCCTTTCATTGCTGAGACATACTTTAACTTTTGCCTCTTTCAAGAATGAAGTGATGCTTATGCCTATAATGTTTAATAAAAATTCTGGTTAAAATGGGTTGGTAATGCTTGTTATCTTTGTGGGTTGTTTTTTTAATAGTCTCTCCCCCAGTAAGATCCACTCAAAGTGGAAGCTTTCAGGAAGTGTCAGTTTTCAGGAACATTAATATTTACAGACATTCCCTCTTCTGGCTGCTTGGAGAATTTTAAATAACTGCCATTATTAGCTTCATAGGACATGCTCAGGTAGGAAATAAAAGCAGTTTGTAACTGGGATCAACTGCTGGGTGAAATTTGCACAGATGCAATGTTTCCAATTGTAAAAAGTACAAATGCAGTTATTGTTAACTGACTTATTCAAAATAGGAATACATTGAGATAAAGAACATAGTTACTATTTCAGTAGCATATTAACAGATCACTCCAAGTGATTGACTGTGTTGGTAATCTATCCCAAGTAGTCTGAAATATACTGTAATCTACTATTTAACTAAAACAGATAATACCTTAATGACTTGTACAAATGTATGAATGTGAACTCCCCTTCAGTCTCCTGAGGAAGAATGTTTTAGCAGTATTGGAAGCCTACGACAGACTTGTCCCCATCATCAGCTTTACATTCCTGCGTAATTCCCTTGTAAATTGTTGCTTCCTTTTTACTCTGTGCCTGTGTTTTGCACATGCCTAAAAGCTCAGAGAAAGTGTGTTTATCTCTGAATGAATGTGTGTGGTATATGTCAGCCTTTATGCTCCCTGTTTAGAGCATGATACTGAGTGGGGAACCTGTATTTTGACAGTGTCTCATCAAGAAATGTCTTCTGCACCTTTCAGTATTATGAACATTACCTCTTTCCTGCATGCATCAGCTCAAAAGCCTCATTAATTTTGTCAAAAGGTAGGGTGTGAGTCACAAATTCATCAACCTTGATCTTTTTGGACATGTAGTCAGTCACCAGTTTTGGCACACTGTCTACGCTCTTCCAGCCTGAAAGACACAAAGCACACGATTGTGTTTTGCCTTTCCACCCACCTCAGAAAAAACAGAAGGAAAA